AAATTTAACTTTTAAAAGCTGTATGCATCTCTGGAGAAGCAGGCCAGGTCTAGGACTGGGGAGTGGAGAACACAATGTTCTCTTTCTTGTTGGAAGATTGTGTCCCTGGGGTGAGACGTTGATTGAAAGCTGCTAGGGGACCAGTCGCCCCAATGCCTATCAGAACAGCTCGATAACACTTTTCCTGCTTAAGTGCTCTGTCCCAGGCTTGCCATGATTGAGTTCCTTAGATTTCATTCCACTGCTTGATTTGATTTGTTCATGGAACATTTCTGAACACTGTGATTGAAAGCTGCTAGGGGACCAGTTGCCCCAATGCCTATCAGAACAGTTCGATAACCCTTATCCTGCTTCAGTGCTCTGTCCCAGGCTTGCCAGGATTGAGTTCCTTAGATTTCATTCCATTGCTTGATTTGTTCATGGAACATTTCTGAACACCTGTGCCCTTGGCAGGGGCTGCCCTGCATTACAGACACTGCTACCAGTGCCCCTGAAAGCCAGGCATTATCATACTGAGGACTAGGCAGGGCTAATGGCAAAGTAAACGTTGTTGTCTAATCTTTCTGCCGGGCCAGTCTGGTACAATGAGATGATGTGGCTTCCTTGCTGGCAGCCACGGATCAGCCCTGGCTGACAATCAGATCTCATGGGAGCATGTGATGGCAGAATCAGGATTCCCTTTTCCATCCCAAGGTTCCTCTGGTAATGGGGGCTGAGTGGAATGGCTTCTCCAAGTGCCCCTGGGACAGAGGCTGCAGCCATCATTGAATGTTCATGTCACACACTAACCCATGAACAGAAACCGGGTGGATGTACATGGTCACACAGTCTGGCCAGGGACCAGAGCCTCCTGAGACCCAGGTTCAGGTCCCACCTGTGTCATTACTTAGTTATGTGAACCTGCACTGATCACTTAACCCCTCTGAGCTATGTCAGTTGGGAAAAACTGGGGGTAATCATATAATAATTCTTTTTAAAAATAATTCAAAGCATTCAGAAAAGCACAAAGAGCCACAGAAATATAAGCACTGCTGTGTTGAGGGAGGTTTGCAGATGACCTGACCAACAATGTCACCTTTCCCCATTTCAGATCACTCACATTGCCTGAGCAGAAAACCACCTAGCAGAGCACTGAAAAGGTCTCAAAACACGGAAGAGCAAGAGGCAGCCAGGTGGATCTTTCTGGAGATTTCAATGAGGTTTCCAGTCCTGTTTTCTATTGCTGAAGACACTGATGACAACTTAACACACATTTCATGACTTACAACAACTCACATTGACTATCTCACAGTTTCTGTGGCTCAGGAATCCAGGCTCCATTCAACTGAGGCCTCTGTCAGTCAGGGATGTGAGCCTGGTCTGTGGTCTCATCTGAGGCTCGACGGGAGAAGGATCTGCTTCCATGCTCACACGGTTACTGGCAGGATTCAGTTACTTACAGATTGCTGCACTGAAGGCCTGAGTTCCTTGCTGGCTGTCGGCTGGAGGCCACCCTTGGTTCCTTCCCCTTGGGCCTCTTTATAGGGCAGCTTTCTTTCTCAGAGCCAGCAAGGGGAAGAGTCTATACAGAGAGTGTGCTAGCAAAACACAAGCTACGAGCCTGTATAATGTAATCGCAGAAGCAACATCCCATCTACTTTGCTGTATCCTGTTGGTTAGAAGCAAGTCCTGCCTACACAAAAGGGGAGGGGATTACACAGGGGTGTGAACACCAGCAGCATGAATAATTGAGGGCCATCCTAGAGTCTCTCTGCCATAACCCTGTATTGGTGTCAGCAAGCATGCCAGCGCCCCTCAGGATGCTAAAATCTCTAATGTGGAGAAACATTATCATCCTCACCAATCCGAGAGCTTCCCCTCAATGTGATCCAAATATCCATCCAGGTGGAAAGAAAGAGCCCCTTCCACACCAGCTTTCCCTTGAATTGACCACAAACACGCCAAAGGCACGGCCTATTCCTACCACGCTCAGGGATGTACCTCCAGCAGCTAGAGCATCCCTGCACGGTACACAGCGAGTGCACAATCAGGCATTCGAATGAATGTGTTAAGGTGCTTGCAGGTTTCTGCCTGGGGCATCTTCCTTCTGCTTCCCAAATATACTTCTCCTCTGCTTAAAATTCCCATGTGGACCCCAGAGAAGCTGTGCCCCCAAAATCAGTGCCCATCCTTGGGCTCCAAGCTCCCTCCCTTCCATTTGGTGGCAGCCTTGAGTGAGGAGATTCCATCTGGTGCCCCCAGAACTTACGCAGGCACCGTCAGGACCATCAAGTTCTTCGTATGAGTGCTAGGATCAACCCATACTTAAGGTGATGGATACTCCAATTACCCTGACTTGATCATTACTCTTTCTATGCATGTAACAGAATATCACAGGTATTCAAAATATATGTAAAATATTATGTTTCCATAAAGAGAGAGAGGGCGAGGTGCACTGTGGTTCACTGTAATCCCAGCACTTTGAGAGGCTGAGGCAGGAAGATCGCTTGAGCCCAGGAGTTCGAAACCAGCCTGGGTCGCATAGTGAAGCCCTGTCTCTACAGAAAATACAAAAGTTAGCTGGGTGTAGTGGCTCATGACTTTAGTCCCAGCTACTCGGAGCCTGAGACCAGAGGACTGATTAAGCGTGGGAGGTTGAGGCTGCAGTAAGCCGTGATCATGCCACTACATTCCACCCTGAGTGATAGAATAAGACCCTGTCTCAAAGAAAAAAAAAGAGAGAGAGAGAGAGAGAGTGCTAGAGAGAGGCTTGAGAGGGAGGAAAGAGAGAGGAAGAGAAGCAGGCACCAGAAGACGTGAACGTGGCAAATAGAAGCGCTAGTCATACTGGAGTGAGATTGACTGCTTAGAAAAAAAAGGAAAAAAAAACAGGCCCAGGATTCACATTTGGGGCACAAACATGTCAGCTAACAGAGAAGGCTGAAATGTCAACGTGTTTTTTACTAACCACCACTGTCCCTGAACTTATCCACACTGCCCACTTCTGAATACTCACCTGGAGGCACTGGAGGCAACTTGGAGCTTTAACAGAACCTGTAGCTCTCATGGCTGGACAGTCTCAGGATGCCCCAGGGGATCTGATTTCAGAACAAGACCCTGAGACAGGGCTTCCTATCTACCTGGGGACTACCCCACTCCCCTGTCCTCCTCCCCAGTAATTTATGCATCAGAGTTTTCACTCTACTTTGTCCACTGAATAAATGTTCACAAAGTGGAGGATCCATTGCTTTGGTAAGCATCCTCTTTCTTCCTTTCTTTTTTTGTTTTTTGTTTTTTGTTTATTTGTTTGTTTGAGACGGAGTCTAGCTCTGTCGCCAAGGCTGGAGTGCAGTGGCAGGATCTCAGCTTACTGCAACTGTATCCAGAATTGGTTCCTTCCGGGGTTCTTGGTGTCACTGACTTCAAGAATGAAGCCGCGGACCCTCACGGTGAGAGTTACAGTTCTTAAAGATGGTGTGTCCACAGTTTGTTTCTTCAGATGTTCAGATATGTCTGGAGTTTCTTCCTTCTGGTGGGTTCGTGGTCTTGCTGGCTTCAGGAGTGAAGCTGCAGACCTTCTCAGTGAGTGTAACAGCTCTTAAAGGTGGCGTCCAGAGTTGTTCCTTCCTCCTGGTGGATTTGTGATCTCGCTGGCTTCAGGAGTGAAGCTGCAGACCTTCGCAGTGAGAGTTACAGCTCATAAAGGTAGTGCACACCCAAAGAGTTGAGCAGTAGCAAGATTTATTGCGAAGAGAAGAGTGAAAGAACAAAGCTTCCACAGCCTAGAAGGTGACCCAAAGGGGTTGCCACTGCTGGCTCCGGTGGCCTGCTTTCATTCCCTTATTTGGCCCCACCCTCATCCTTTTGATTGGTCCATTTTACAGAGAGCTGACTGGTCCATTTTACAGAGAGCTGATTGGTGCATTTACAATCCTTTAGGTAGACACAAAAGTTCTCCAAGTCTCCACCCCATTAGCTAGACACAGAGTGCTGATTGGTGCATTTACAATCCTTTAGCTAGACACAGAGTGCTGATTGGTGCATTTACAATCCCTTAGCCAGACACAAAAGTTCTCCAAGTCCCCACTTGACTCAGAAGCTCAGCCGACTTCACCTCTCACAACCTCTGCCTCCTGGGTTCAAGCGATTCTCCTGCCTCAGCCTCCTGAGTAACTGGGATTACATGTGCCCACCACCATGCCCAGCTAACTTCTCTACTTTTAATAGAGATGGGGTTTCACTATGTTGACCAGGCTGGTCTTGAACTCCTGACCTCAGGTGATTCACCTGCCTCAGCCTCCCAAAGTACTGGGATTACAAGCGTGAGCCACGGCACCCAGCTAAGCATCCTCTTTCTAAGTCACTCACCCACGAGTATGAATTCTTTGCCCAGATTGCTTTGCTCCATTGTAGCTGATTTCAGCCCAGTTATAAGCCTGGAGCACCTGGAGAAATCAGACCCAGGTGGGATCTCAAAAGTGGAGAGGGTGGGAAGGGACCAAAAGAAAGAGAAGAGGTGCAGAAAGGGAGGGACACAGATTCCAAAGAAATACCTGGCCGGTCTCAAGTTTGCCTCCTCCAGGAAGGGAAGGCAGCATTCTGCCGGTGCTCTCTCCCTCCTCCCCCATGTACTGCGCACATCTCCTTCCCAGACTCAGCCCAGTTGCCACCAAAAGTAAGCCAGAAAGGAAAGGAAAGAAATAAGCCTCTGGCTGGACGACAGAGCAAAACTCCGTCACAAAAAAAAAGGAAAAAGAGAGAAAGAGGGAAAAAGAGAAGGGAAGGGAAGGGAAGGGGAGGGGAAGGGAGGGGAGGGGAGGGGAGAGAGAGAAAGAGAGAAATAGGGAAGGGAAGGGAGGAGAGGGGAGGGGAGGGGACGGGAGGGGAGAGGAGGCGAAGGGAGGGGAGGGGAAGGGAGGGGAGGGGAGGGAACGGAAGGGAAGGAAAGGGAAGGGAAGGGAAGGCAAGGGAAGGGAAGGGGCCTCCAGGTCATTGTTCCTCTCTCTCCCTGCGGGTCCACCCCCATGTCAACCCCCCTCACCCCCACAATGGTGCAAGGTTACAATGGAAAGTGCCTCCGCTGGAACAGTATCAGAACTTGGCTTGGGGCAGCAACAATCTTATCAGGAGCTTTTCTGTTTGGGATCAGGGAAACCGGTGACTTTCAAAGAGTCCGATAAGGCAGGACCCAAGTTGTATATAAGGGGCAGCTCATGCTGCTGCTCTGCACCTTCCTCCCGTCTTGCTTCTCCCTGGAGTTGGGACCCGGGAAGAACCATGAAGTGGCTGCTGCTGCTGGGTCTGGTGGCGCTCTCTGAGTGCATCATCCACAAGTGAGTCCGGGTGGCATGGGTGTGAAGACGCCTGCCTCCCACATCGCCCTTCTTTACTCCTGTGTCTTCCTTCTTCCCTTTTTTTCCTCTCTCTCTTTGGCTGTCTCCATCCCCCTTGTCTGCCTCTCTCTCTGCCCTTTTGGGAGGCAGCTCTGCAGATGTGGTTAAAACTCGGGCCCAGCCCGAGTCTGGTTCCCAGCTCCAGCCCTAGTCAACTTAACTTCTTTGCATTATTGCACAGACATGGGAGCTCCTCCCTTCCTTCCATCTTCCTCTCTTAGACCAGCTGGTTAAGAGTCCAGCCTGGGTTTGGTTCCAGCTCCACCACTAGGCAGCTTAACTTCTTTCCATTATTGCACAGATGTGGGAGCGTCTCCCTTCCTTCCTTCTTCCTCTCTTAGACCAGCTTCCCTTCCCTTCTGGGGCTGCCACAGCACCCGGTGAGCAGAATCCTTGCCTAATTCCTCTTCCTCCTCCAATCCACAGGGTCCCCCTCATCAGAAAGAAGTCCTTGAGGCGCAACCTGTCCGAGCATGGCCTGCTGAAGGACTTCCTGAAGAAGCACAACTTCAACCCAGCCAGCAAGTACTTCCCCCAGGCGGAGGCGCCCACCCTGATAGACGAACAGCCCCTGGAGAACTACCTGGATGTGAGTGTGTGGGCAAGCGGCGGGGCCGGCTCTGAGGACTTGGCCCGCAGGAAAGAGAGTTTCCCTGGGGTCTTGGAGGATGGGCCGGGGCTCTGAGGCTGCAGGCAGTGACCCAGGGTCTGCCCCCTAGGTGTCAGTGGCCCTGGGCAGGCAGGAAAGCTCACACTCAGAGCTGCTGCTTTTTGTTCATTCATTCATTCCTTCACTCGTTCATGCAATGTTTATTTCTTCTGAGCACCTCGTTACATGTCAGGGCCTGTGCTTACATGTCAGGGCCTGTGCGGGGCTCAGGTGGAAACCGCGGTGAGCAAAGTCATAGCCGAGGAGACAAAGACAGTAATCAAGGAGTTTTGCAAACCAATGAAAAGAACAGGCAGCAGGAGGACCACAGAGTGAAGGTGTCACACTACAACTCTGCCACTTGGGCAGGGAGCCTCCCGGGAGCCATGCAGGAAGAGCGGGAATTTCCAAGAGAAGAAAACAGAACTCCGCAGCCTGATCACTTGTGCCGAACCCTGTGCAGGCGGGAGCACAGGGCATTTGAAGGAGAGCCCAGAGGGAGGGAAGAAGGGTGCTGCAGACTGCGGCCCGAGGAGCCGAGGGGTGAATGGAGAGAGGCTCCATCCTAACTGCCACTGATTTATCTTAAACAGGGGGTGACAAAATCAGATCCGAGTTTCAGAAAGATCACTCTGACTTTATTATTTGAGACCCGACAGCAAACACCCTGCCTTCCCACAGATATAGTATGTCCCCTCTGTGCCTGGCACAGGGCAGAGGGCACAGAGCAGTGATGACTGTGGTTCAGAGATTGGCCTCTGCCATCCAGCAGACCTAGTGCAAATGTGGGTTCTAGCGCCTCTAAGCCACAGGACCTTGGCCAAGACATTTAAATCCTCTGAGCCCGTTTCTTGGTCTGGAAAACAGAAACACTAATATCTACCAACAGAGGTTGTTGCCAGGAATTCACGCAATCATGTTTTCTGGAGTGCTTAGCATGGGGTCTGGCAGGCCCTTGGTAAGAGGCTTAGTTAGCGCATTTATTTAGTTAACAAATATTTAGCAAATATTGGCACCTCTCTATGTGCCAGAGGCTATGCAAGTTGCCAAAATGATGGTGAATAAACAAAGTTCGTGGAGCTTATATTCTACAGGGGATGAGAGATAAGCAAGTGTGGAGGATAATTTCAGGTACTGATGAGGGCCAAGACAAATTAATTAATTGGAGTATGAGGAAAAAGAAGATCGAGAGAGGGCAAATTTAGATAAAGTGGTCACAGAAGGCCTGTTGGCAGAGGGGACATTTGACTAGAGACCTGAATGATTGATTTTTGAAAAAAGGATCAACCAAAGAAAGATCTAGAATAAACATTTTCATAGCACAAGAAATACCCAGTGCAAAGGCCCTAGGGCAGGAGGGACTGCTCATCGCCAAGGAGCAGCAAGCAGACCAGTATGGCGGGAACAGAGCCAGCAAGGGGGGAAAATGCTGCCACTCAGAAGAAAAATACTGGTTGGTTGGCTGAGGTGGGTGGATCACTTGAAGTCAGGAGTTTGAGACCAGCCTGGAAACATGGTGAAACTCCGTCACTACTACAAATACAAAAATTAGCCAGGAGTGATGGCACACACCTGTCATCCCAGCTACTTGGGAGGCTGAGGCAGGAGAATCACTGGAACCCAGGAGGCAGAGGCTGCAGTGAGCCGAGATCATGCCACTGCACTCCAGCCTGGACAACCGAGCGAGACTTGCCTCAAAAAAAAAAAAAAAGAAGAAGAAGAAGAAGAAAAATACTGGCAATGCCCTTTCTTGCAACCTACTGTACACATCTAGATGTAGAAACAAGAAAATCGGCCAGGTTTCCATCTTTAGGTAGCTTGCTTAGCTTCCGATAAACAATTTAAGGCACAAGCACTTAAGCTGTCACTTGCCTGGTGCTAGAAGGTTCCACCCAGATACTCTGTGCTGTAAGGATGGGAAGACTGTGACATCCAAGACAATGGCTGAATAGGGAGCAGCAGATTGTTAGGTGCTTGTGGTGCTTAGGAGAGAGCAGAGGGTAAATTGGGGGAGCAATCAGGGAAGACTTAAAGGAGGAAGGGATACCAGGACTGGGCTTTGAAGGATGAAGGCGGTGGCTGGGAAGAGAAAGACAAGAACTGTGAGGAGGGAAGGAAAAGGTAGAGAGGCACACCGAGGAGATGACCCAGAGAGAGCCCTTAGGGAGGCCCCGACAGAGAGACCCCGGTCCATGAACTGCCCTGTCCCGGCCTCGGCAGATGGAGTACTTCGGCACTATCGGCATCGGAACCCCTGCCCAGGACTTCACCGTGATCTTTGACACTGGATCCTCCAACCTGTGGGTGCCCTCAGTCTACTGCTCCAGTCTCGCGTGCAGTAAGTTCCCAGCCCGCCCCACCCCAGTCTCGATCCCCAGCCCCAGCTGACCCTGGGGAACCCTGGACACCCGTGGGCTTCAGACACCTCCCCCCCCAAACCTGCTGGAGCCACTCAACAGGCATTTACTAAGCACCTACTATGTGCCAGGCACTGGACGCAGGTGCTCCACGGGGTAAAGGGATGAATGATATGATCCCTGCGGTCAAAGATTTTCCAGTCTGAGGGGAGAGAGAAGCTCCCCAAAATAACCACAGCCTGGGAGAGGATGTGTAGGGGCCCAAAGCAAGACAGGGCCAACGGGCTGTAGAATAGCCCACTAGGACATGCTAGAGGTGAGTGCTGAGCTCGTTTAAAAAAAAAGAAAAATCATTGTTTGCTAACGAAAGAGAGCTTGTCTTTGGAAGTCATGAGCAATATGTGTTACAGGTTCCTTCCTCTTCTAATGTTTTCACCTGAGTTTTAATTAAGATGAGGTGCCTCCAGCTTCTTCCACATCATAACGGGAGCACTGGCCGCGGGCTGGAGGGTGAAAGCGCTCATCACTGGGCAGCCACCAGCCTGCTCAGCTCAATGTTGGCCTGGGGAGTCCCCGGGAGGCCCTTGGGGTTGGCTGGGAACCTGCCATCAGTGAATGGTCCCAGGAGTTCAATGAGACAGGACAGAACCTGGGGTCTCTTGGGGTCCAAGGGTCTAGGGGGAAAGGTCACTGCTCACCTCCAGAGCCCTTCCTGGGGCCAGGGCACCCCATCCCAGGAAGACATCCCAGCCTGTGACCTTCACCCAGCTCTGAAACTGACAATCACCGCTTGCCCTTGCAGCCAACCACAACCGCTTCAACCCTCAGGATTCCTCCACCTACCAGTCCACCAGCGGGACACTCTCCATCACCTACGGCACCGGCAGCATGACAGGCATCCTCGGATACGACACTGTCCAGGTGGGCGCCTGCAGGCTGCCGCTGCATCCCGCCATCAGGCACCCCCAGAATCAGCTTATTCCAGCACGATGAGTCTCGGTGATCACAAAAGTAACCTGATTGGGGGTACGGGCTGGGGGAGAAGCAGCAGAGATGTCACAGACGTTGCTAGCTCGGGTGGCAGTGAGTAAAAGGGTGGGCTGCCGGGAGCCATAAGCCAGCCTCAGCTCCACCCAAGCAGAATGTTATGGAGGGTGGGGAGAGTCCGTAAAGGCTCAATTCTCTACTAGCACCTCCTCCTCTTCCTCCTTCTCCCGACCTGCAGCCCCCGCACGTCAGGAAATCTCCACAAGCCCTCTCTGCTACTTTTGGGGCATGGCAGGGGTCAAAGGCCCTGATTCGTCCGGGTTCATCCGTAACACAAACACACAGCGAATATCGGTTCTCCAGCAAAATCTCACACTGAGTCATAGACCGTGGCCATCTGCAGATCAGCTGCCATGGTTACCTCCAGCAGAGGAACGAGCATTCCAGGAGACGGTCCCTCTCCCCTCCTTCCGGGCTGATACCCTGGCAGCCAAGTCCTGCATGGGATGAACCAGGGCAGCTGTGGGCCTGAGGCTGGCACCCAGAGCTCAGTGAACGTGACCTGAGGGTGAACATCATCTCGGTTCCCCCACCCAGGTTGGAGGCATCTCAGACACCAATCAGATCTTCGGCTTGAGCGAGACAGAACCCGGCTCCTTCCTGTATTATGCTCCCTTCGACGGCATCCTGGGGCTGGCCTACCCCAGCATTTCCTCCTCCGGGGCCACACCCGTCTTTGACAACATCTGGAACCAGGGCCTGGTTTCTCAGGACCTCTTCTCTGTCTACCTGAGCGCGTAAGTTGGGTGGAGAGGGGTCTCCTCCCACCTCCCCCTCCAGAGGTCACAGTGTTCTGGCCCAGCAGGAGCTGTCCGAGGCTGGCTACGATGGAGAGGGTCTAGGGAAGCAAGGCATTTGGAAAGTCAATGTCTGAGGCTACAGAAATGTGTCTTTGCAGACAGATAGTGCCAAGTCTCTCTCTGATGGGCCATGTGCACTCCACCTCATTTACCAGCGACTTTATCCCCTTGATGTACACAACTCAAATGTCATCAGCCATTTGCCCTTCAGTGCCAGTTCCTTCATCCTTGGCCCCCAAAGATGTCATTAAAAATGAATACACTTGGCTGGGCGCGGTGGCTCAAGCCTGTAATCCCAGCACTTTGGGAGGCCGAGACGGGTGGATCACGAGGTCAGGAGATCAAGACCATCCTGGCTAACACGGTGAAACCCCATCTCTACTAAAAAATACAAAAAAAAACTGGCCGGGCGAGGTGGCGGGCGCCTGTAGTCCCAGCTACTCGGGAGGCTGAGGCAGGAGAATGGCGTAAACCCGGGAGGCGGAGCTTGCAGTGAGCTGAGATCTGGCCACTGCACCCCAGCCTGGGCGACAGAGCAAGACTCCCTCTCAAAAAAAAAAAAAAAAAATGAATACACTTGGCCAGACATGGTGGTTCATGCTTGTAATCCAAGCACTTTGGGAGTCTGAGACAGGAGGATCACCTGAAGTCAGGAGTTCAAGACCAGCCTGGCCAACATGGCAAAACCCTGTCTCTACTAAAAAATACAAAAATTAGCCCGGCGTGGTGGCAGGCACCAGTACACCCAGCTACTCAGGAGGCTGAGGCGGGGAGAATCGCTTGAGCCTGGGAGGCGGAGGTTGCAGTGAGCCAAGATTGTGCCACTGCATTCCAGTCTGGGCAACAGAGCGAGACTCCATCTCAGAAAATAAATAAATAAATAAATAAATAAATAAATAAAGTGAATACACTTAAAACAGACCAAAATTCCATAACACAAAAATGAAAAGATTTGATCAAGATATATCATGGATGATGACATTTTTAAATCATGAAAGCAAGTTTCTTTTGTGATTTAATAAAACCTAGGTTCCATTTGTGACCGTGGGCTAATTCTAGGAATGAACAAAGAAATAAATGAACAAACAAACAAATGAACAAAGAATAAATCAAATGTCAATCTGGGCTGAGTAGAGTGTTACGCAAGAACATCTGAGGGCATCATCCACTTTCTTAAGACACTCAACGTTCCTCTAACACTCACGAACGTCCTCCTCTTTTGAAAGGGTTCGCCGTCATTCACTTGTTTCCTCGGTTGGTAACTATGTGTCTAGGTCCTCACTGTATAGCATTACACTGTGAGATGTTCACAGAAAAGGTGGGTGGGTTCAGTGAGGGGGTCCTGTTTTATACATGGCCAGTTCTCCGATGACTGATTTCTTATTGCCATCTACATTTGCTTCTGCATCTACCCTGAAACTGCAGAGATTTAGAAAATGAATATTGAAATAACAAGCACTCCTGCAATTTACAACAGGAAGGCTCTTTGTCATGTGTTCCTCTTGGCCAGTTGATGTTCAAGGTGGCTCTGAAACATAATCTGCCTTTATGAGCACTTAAATATTTCACGTGGGGCCGTTGTATCTCCCCAGCTAGATCTGAGTCTCTCAATCTGGGCATTATTAACATTTCAGACCAGCATAAGTCCTTGCCAAGGACTGTTCCATGCATTGTAGGACGTTTGGCAGCATCCCCAGCCTCTAAGCATTAGATGCCAGTAGCATCCACTACCCCCACCCAATCAATCCAAAATGTCTCCAGACATTCCCCTGGGGGCAAAACTGCTCCCAGCTAAGAACAAGAGATCTCCACCATCAAGTCCTTAAGAGCCGACACTGTCACCCATTCACATCCCTGGGGTCGCCATGGCAACTAGAGTGAGTACCACGGTGGAAACCACACACTCAACCTAAAAGACCCGTGTTCTTCCAAACGTAGTTCCACCACTCCCCCGCTGTGTGACCTTGGGCAGGTGACCTCACCTCCCTCAGGCTCAGTGTCCTCATGGTAAGTGGAAATAACAGTGACAGTGTCCACTGCGTGGGCCCTGGCCTAAGAGGACAAGAAACCACATTTGTCACACCCCAGGACAGCCCTGCCAAGTACCCAATCAAGGGTAGCTCCGAGGAGCCAACAGCAGATGTTCACACAAATGAACGAACAGAGAAATTCATGTCTTCTTCCCTCACTTTCCACAGCGATGACCAGAGTGGCAGCGTGGTGATATTTGGTGGCATTGACTCTTCTTACTACACTGGAAGTCTGAACTGGGTTCCTGTTTCTGTCGAGGGTTACTGGCAGATCTCCGTGGACAGGTGAGACTGCCATGGATGGGCAGCATCGAGGCCTGGGCCCCAGATTCCATTTCCTTATGGATTCATAGCTAACCAGCTTTCCAGAATCCCCCCGAGAACAGCTGACACAGGGGAACACACTCCAGGGGGAAGGCGGAAGTTGGCCCAGCCAGAGAAACCCTAGAAAGACACGTCCCGGGCAGAGGAGGGAAGAGCTGTCTGGGAAACCGAGACTCTTCAAGGGTCAGATAGCCACTGTCCTAATAGTCACGGAGGCAGAACAATCCACCAGCATCCCTGGGGAAAGCTGGGTGACCACCTGTCCACACATCTCAATTTAAGGGGCCTGGGACCCAGCACAGGCTCCTCCAACTTGAGGAAATGTGTCACTTTCAGTCTAGAAGTAGGGCAAAATGGCTAAGAAATTATGTGAAGTCATTTCTCAAGAGTGAACAATTTCCCATGACAAAGACTTCAGTACTAAAACTAGGATCATCCCAGGTAAACCAGGACACATTGATCACCTCATGTCTGCCCAGCCACGCTAGAATTTCACCAGTTCCTCCAACTCCTGCCCCAGCCCTCTGGTCTCTGTCCCTCCCCGCAACCGTCCTGTTGATGTCCTCCTTCTCTCTTCACCTGCCTGGAATCCCTGGGTGTCTGCTCCCCTGGCTGCTTCCCTCCACTGCCTCTCACCCTGGACCCTGTTTTGTTCCCTGCCGCACACCTGGGTTATCATCCTGCCCTTCTGCCACCATAACTTATCTTGCCAGCCAGGCCGGGAGCTCCCTGCAGCCTGGAACTGTGAGGCTGTCTGGTTTAGCTTTGCGTTTCTCATGCCTGGCAGAGAGTAGGCACTTGTAAAATATTTGTTGGGTAAATGAATGCAGGATGAATGAGTGTGTGAATGAGAGGAACAGAAATTTCACTCACTGGCCAATGGATGGGTGGGGAAGAAATGTCTGGGGTCACCTCCTGGTTCCTCCTTGGAGAGATGTACCCCTGAGGGCTCAGGGACCTTCACTTGCTCCTTGCTCTCAGCATCACCATGAACGGAGAGGCCATCGCCTGCGCTGAGGGCTGCCAGGCCATTGTTGACACTGGCACCTCTCTGCTGACCGGCCCAACCAGCCCCATTGCCAACATCCAGAGCGACATCGGAGCCAGCGAGAACTCAGACGGCGAGGTGAGTCCAGCCCCGACGGCTCTGTTCTACACTCAAATAGTGGGTGTGCCAGGCACACGGGACCAAAACCCTTCTAACTTTTCTCACCTCACTCTTTCCAGATGGTGGTCAGCTGCTCAGCCATCAGCAGCCTGCCCGACATCGTCTTCACCATCAACGGAATCCAGTATCCTGTGCCACCCAGTGCCTACATCCTGCAGGTGAGGGGGCTCTGGACCATCCACTAGAGGGGCTCACACAGAATGTGGCCACAGAGTCCCCTCTGCAGAGGGAAAGTGCGCTTCCACGAGCTGAAGCCGAGAGGCAGAGGCAGACGAACATCTGCCCCAGACAGCTCCGGAGAGAAGGAACAGATTGAAAACAAACGCAGGAATAAGAACTCGGATACAGCCCCCTAAGGGAACAAGTGAAGCAAAGGTTAATGGAGGGAAAAGAGGATTCTATTTGGATCCCTGGGTCCAAGTCCTGGGTCTGAATTACCAGCCCATTGATTCTGAGCAAGATACAACTCATCTCAGCCTCCGTTTTCTCATCCAAAATGTAGACATGGCAGCTTTCCCCACCCTCAGAGTGCGGTTAGGTTAACCAAGTGAGACTCATCACATCAGAACTACCAAGGGTTGGGTAAAGGGAAATCCTCATTTCCATAGGCTGGGGCTTCCGACACTCCTACCATCTCTACCAAGTAGCAAATCTTTAGCTGTACGAGCCACAGGAAAACTCTCCCTTCTATTACTATAACTTCAGGTGGAAAACTGATTTTGCCAGTGGACTGATGTTACTCAACAAGAAGCACTGATGCCTGGGCTCCCCCAGTGATTCTGATTACATTAGGAGAGGGCAAGGCCTGAGCAATGGGATGGGCTACCGGGGTTCAAAGCTCCCCAGGTGACGTGCAGACAAGGTCACAGCCCAGTGACTTAGTGAGGCAAGAGGCTAACAGCTCCTCCGGTTTGCCCCTGGTAGGGATCAGAATAATCATGAGAAAAGGCTGTGTGGGCTGAGTTTTCACACTCCTTCCTACCAGCTGAATTCTCCCCAAGGCCTTAGCTCTGATGCTGATGTCAGGGTTCCTGTGCCTGCCAGAAACGCCAGATAATGTCCAGTAATGCGTAGAAACCAATCGTGCTGTGGACAGCTTCTACAGGCCAACTCCAGGCCAAAAACAGCCGAGTCCCTGGACACTGAGCCAGGAAGCTCCTCCTTGCACGTGCCTTGCAGCTGGACCAGGGCGCCCTGGATGTTTATCACTCAGTGCCTGTCACTGCTGAATCGACGTCTCAACTCCACTTTTATTCTCCTTTTCTCCAGAGCCAGGGCAGCTGCATCAGCGGCTTCCAGGGCATGGACGTCCCCACCGAATCTGGAGAGCTTTGGATCCTGGGTGATGTCTTCATCCGCCAGTACTTCACTGTCTTCGACAGGGCAAACAACCAGGTCGGCCTGGCTCCCGTGGCTTAAGCCCAGGTCTTTCCAGCCACCTCCCAGGAAGATCTGACCTCCGTCCTCTGCCCACTTTAGATGTATCTAATTCTCCTGACTGTCCTTCCCAGGGGAGTGTGGAGGTCTTGGCCCTGTTCCCTGTCTTACCAATAATGTAGAATAAAAACATAACCTGCTGAAACAGGTTTTGTGGAGCTGCTTCTCTTTGCTGGTCTTTTTCCTTCACATCACTGGGGTTAGAACGCCAGGGCAGGGACCAAAATGACCACATCCACTTGGATGGCAGCCAACAAGGTGACCCCAGCAGCGGACACTTCATGGTGGAGCCAGGAAGACAGAGGCCTGCAGGGGGCTGTGCTGGAAGCATCATAAAAAGACCTGGGGGCCAAAAATGCTGGGCTCATCGTCTTCTCATAGAAGGGACAGTGAGAGCTGAGATCGTGCCATTGTACTCCAGCCTGGGCAACACAGAGAGACTCCGTCTCAAAAAAAAAAAAAAAGAAAAAGAAAGAAAAGAGAGAGAAAAAAAGAAAAAATAGCACTGAAGCTCTTAGTTGAGGGAGTCAACTTCTTACTTCTCCCAAAACCAATAAGAGATCATGACAAGGCTGGGAGCAGTGGCTCACACCTGTAATCCCAGCACTTTGGGAGGCTGAGACAGACAGGTCACAAGTTTGAGACCAGCCTGGCCAACATGGTGAAATCCCGTCTCTACTCAAAATGCAAAAATTAGCTGGGCGTGGTGGTGCGTGCCTGTAATCCCAGCTACTCGGGAGGCTGAGGCAGGAGAATCGCTTGAACCGGGAAGGTGGAGGTTGCAGTGAGCTGAGATCACACCATTGCACTCTAGCCTGGGCAACGGAGTGAGACTGCAGCTCAAAAAAAAAAAAGAGACAAAGATCATGAGGAAAAGAAAGCAATCAGGAGAGACAGGAGAGGTGGACACTAATGGCGATGTCCCTAAGTAGACAGGATAGGGCAGTGTTGTCTACAAGACATGGACAGGAGAAGTGGAAGAAGCTGATACCCCACAGTCTTCCAGGACACCCCTGTGATTCGCTGGTGACCAAGACTCACTGTCAATCTCCCGCAAGGTCCCAGGCACAAGACCCTGAACACATCTGTTTCCCCGTCTGTAACAAACAGAATGGTGTTCCACTTCCCTGAGCAGAGGCTGTGAGACAGAGAATTAAGCACGCTCAGTAGCATATATTCCCTAGAAAGGTAAAGAGGAAATGGAGCAGTTTCTCAGACTGAGCCTGGTAGCAAAACGTACAATGGAAAACATAGTTTCAAAATAAGTACAGAACACACTACGTTCCAGGCCCTTCCCCAGGGCTCACCAGCTACAGTTCCCAATCAAAGGCTCTGATAAGTCCTGCTGCAAAGTGATCTGTTTCATTTTAACTCAGCTCAGCTTGATCTCAGACTCTCTCTTGCTAGGAAGTCTATTACAGCCCTGGGCCTCTCAGCATGCACACCGGGAAAATTTCCATAGCTCCTGCTTCTGGTAACAGCCAACCCAGGCTGTCTGCTGAAGGCAGGGCCAGAGGCTGGAGCTGGGCTGTAGGAGGGCCAGGGATGATCTCCAACGCCCAGTCTCCCCGGGGTCACTCTCACCCTCCCAAGCCCACTTTCCATAGCTGAGTCAACTTTATGAAACATACATTTCGTCTCATCCCTTCCTTGCTTAAAACTCTTAATGCCTTCTTGCCATTGCCTTTGGAACAAAACAGCAAATCTTTGGCATAGTTCCAGGTCCTGTGTGCTCCTTTCCCTCAAAACCTTCCCTGCCTCATTCTGATCCCACTGCCCTGAGCTCCCTCCACCCTGGCTCCCACGGCCACGATAATCCAAGTGCTTTCCCACCTCCAGACTTTGCACATGCTGTTTCCTTTGCCTGGGTTGCCTTTCCGTCTTTCTTGCCTTGCTAACACCTAGCATCTGCAGACGTGGCTTAAATGTCACTTCCCAACCAGGTGCGGTGGCTCACACATATAATCCCAGCACTCTGGGAGGCCGAGGTGGGCAGATGAACTGAGGTCAGGAATTGGAGACCAGCCTGGCCAACATGGTGAAATCCCATCTCTACTAAAAATACAAAAAATTAGCTTGGCGTGGTGGCGGGCACCTGTAATCCCAGCTACTCGGGAGGCTGAGGCAGGAGAATCGCTTGAACCCAGGAGGCAGACGTTGCAGTGAGCTGAGATCATGCCATTGTATTCCAGCCTGGGCAAAAAGAGTGAAACTCCACCTCAAAAAAAAAAGTCACTTCCCTGTAAAAGTGATCAGCCCTCCCTGACCACTCTCCCATAGAGCCTGGGCCCACCTTATCCCTCATGGTACTTGGCACGACTTGTAACGACACATTTAAGTGTTTCAGATTCACAAGGGCAGGGATGGTTATCGTATTTAGGGTTGAAGCCTGAGCAGAAAGAACAGGGCTTGGCACATAGTAGGTGGTCCCTAAATTGTTGCTGAATGAGTGATTAGCGATGATGTTTTAAAAGGAAACAACTCAGATAGGATGAGAGTATGAGATGTGGAGAGGGTTTGACAAAGGCCACGTGAATGACAACAGGGGGGTCAGCTCCCACCCCCACCAACATTCCATCCTCCTCACATTTTGTCATGGGATAAGCAGGTGGATATCTCAAGTTTCTGGGAAGGAATTTCACCCTGTCCTGGCTCCTTTGCTGGATTTCTTTTTCTGACATTTCCCACGTAGCTACTTTGAAGCTAGGCAGTGTGCTAGGCTCCAGGGATACGGGTAGGCCTTCCTGGATGCTATCTGTTCTCCTGCGCCTGGCCCCATCCTTCCTTCCTCCCCCATCTCAACCCCAGCAGCTGCAGCTCAGCCTCTCTCTCCCAGCACCTCTTTCATTCCCACCCTGGGATTCCCGAACCCAGCCAGCATCTAAAGAGCTTCCTCATTAGACAGATCATTTGACCGGAAAGCCCTGTGCCAACATATCCGAATCCTATGTTGCTGCACGAGAGACGATGAATTCACAAGCCTTTGCTGCAGTCTCAGGTCTCTGCTTCATGCATCTTCCTCTAAGGCCTTGGGGGTCTAAGCACAGCTCCTTCTGTTCTTTTCATTCACACTCGTCCAGGAGTGTTATTTTAATCTCACAGGTCTCCTGCCCCATCCATCCTCACCTGTCCCAAATGATCACTCCACACATTGCTGGTGGAAGTGTAAATTGGCACCACCCTAAGGAGCATGATGTGGCTGTTTCTGTCAAAACTTGAAGGGGTGGCCTGCCCCTCCACACCTGTGGGTGTTTCTCATTAGGTGGAACGAGAGACTTCAGAAAAGAAATGAGACACAGAGACAAAGTATAGAGAAAGAAAAAGTGGGCCCAGGGAACCGGCGCTCAGCTTACAGAGGACCCACGCCAGCACCAGTCTCTGAGTTCCCTTAATATTTACTGATAATTATCTTTACCATCTTAAAGATAAGGGAGTGGCTGGACAATAGGATCATGGTAGGGAGGAAATCAGCAGTAAGACATATGAACAAAAATCTCTGTGACATGAATAAGTTTAAAGGAAAATGCTGTGCCTTGAGATGCATATGCAAACATCTCCATAAACCTTTGAGCAGCATTGTTTCAGCCTATCACATGGGGAGAAACCTTGGACAATACCTAGCTTTCCTAGGCAGAGGTCCCTGCGACCTTTGGCCTTGTACGTGTCCCTGGGTAGTTGAAATTAAGGGAATAGTGATGACTTTTAACCAGCAAGCTGCCTTCTGGCACTTGTTTAACAAAGACACATCCTGCACAGCCCAAAATCCATTAAACCTTGAGTCACCACAGCACATGTCTCTTGCAAGGACAAGGTTGGGGGTAGGGTCACAGATTAACAGCATCTCAAATACAGAACAAAATGGAGTCTCTTATATCTACTTCTTTCTATATAGACACAGTAACAGGCTGATCTCTTTCTTTTCCCCACAAAAACCAAAAATGCATATGCTGGCTGGGCTCAGTGGCTCATGCCTGTAATCCCAGCACTTTGGGAGGCTGAGGCAGGTGAATCACCTGAGATGAGGAGTTTGAGACCAGCCAGGTCAACATGGTGAAACCTCATCTGTACTAAAAATACAAAATTAGTCGGGCGTGGTGACACATGTCTGTAATTCCCAGCTACTTGGGAGGCTGAGACAGGAGAATCTCCTGAACCTGGGAGGCAGAGGTTGCAGTGAGCCGAGATGGCGCCATTGCACTTCAGCCTGGGCAACGGAGCGAGATTCTGTCTCCAAGAAAAGCAAAAGAATGATCAATGTTCAAGACGATAAATATGCTAATTACTCTGATCTGATCACTAAACATTATATGTACGGAAACACCCCTATGTACCCATAAATATGGACAATTATTACATTTGAATTAAAAAGAAAGGAGCCAGGCACAGTAGCTCACGGTGTAACCCCAGCACTTGGGAAGGCCAAGGTGGGAGGACGGCTTGAGCCCAAGAGTTCAAGACCAGCCTGAGCAACACAGCAAGACTTCATTTCCATTGTTTTTAATAAATAAATAAGAGGAAAAGAACGAAGATGTATATTATACGAGAATATTCATAGAGCACTGTTCCTAAGAACCCCACACTGGAAGCTACCCAAATGCCTAGGAACTGAAAAAGAGATAAGTAAAGGGTATATTGATGCAGTGGAATAATACATAGCAATGAACAGGACTGAGTAACAACTCCACACGACACCAGTCGCGGATGCCTCAACTAAACATGATTTTGAGCAAAGAAGCTCAATGCAAATAAAGTGCTTGTTATGTGGTACTGCTTATCAAAAGTACAAAAACAGGTGAAATGTATCTTTGCTGTTTGGATATTAGAGTAGTGATACGCTTGGTTTGGCACTGGGGTAGTGACTGGGAAGAGCCTGGGGTGCGGTCCGGGGGTACCTGACATGCTCTTTTGCTGGGTCTGGGTTGTGGTTACATGCGTGTGCTTGGTTTGTGAAAATTCATCAAGCTATTTCTTACGATATGCACCTTTCTGTGTGCATACAATATTTCAAGAAAGGTTTAAAAATGATAACGTAGATTTCTAAAAAATTACTTGCAAAATACAGGACCACGGTATTTCTTTTAAAAGCAGGTTCAGGGTACAGATAAAGTAGCACAGCAGATGTGAGCTGAGCTCATCAAAACGGGTTGGT